TCCTCTCTCTGAAATTAATAAAGATACATTTAAAAATAAATAAAAATAAAATAAAAGAACCCAATTCTAAAAAAAAAGATAAATAAATAATAAGAAGAATGATTTAAACAATTAAAAGCCATTTTGGAAAAAAACTTTTGTAAAAATTTTTTTATTGATTTTAGGGAGAGAGGAAGGAAAAGGAAGAGAGAGAGAGATGGAAGCATCAATGATGAGAGAGTCATTGATCAGCTGCCTCCTGCACGCCCCACACTGGGGACTGAGCCCACAACCCAGGCATGATGTGCCCTGACGGGGAATTGAACTGTCATCTCCTGGATCATAGGTTGATGCTCAACTGCTGAGCCAAGCTGGCTGGACTGGAAAAAAACTTGTAATGTTATATCTTTGTGAGTCCTATATGATTAGAAAGAAATTTGGCTTCAGTACAGAAACTTACTTATTATAGGCTCCCATGATACTGGTGTATTAGCTGTGAAACTCAGTGTAATACTCGTCTTTCTTCCTATCCAGTGGCTTTATTGATTTCAGAGAGAGGAAAAGAGAGGGAGAGAGAGAGATAGAAACATCAATGATGAGAGAGTCATTGATCAGCTGTCTAACCTGCAACCTGGGCATGTGCCCTGACCAGGAATCGAATCCGGATCGCCTGGATCCGAGGTCGATGCTTAGCTGCTGAGCCATGCCTGGCCAGGCTCCAATGGCTTTGAAATGGGTAAAACTAAGCTATGTCTGATGAAATCCTGCTGAGGCATTTTGTACTGTATAGCCTTTCTGTCAAAGCTAAATTCATGGGTTTTATGAACTGCTTAAAGACCGGGCATTTAGGCCAGAGGGAGAAATCATTGCTAGGAATATCTTTGGTATTGCAGTTGGATTGTTTTTAGAAATATGAGTGGTGTTTCTTCCTCTTTTTCTGCTACCCTTACAATACTTTTTACATTTAAAATGTTTTAGGATTATAGGAGTATACATTTACGTAACAAAACTCTGGGTAGGTATTTCCAAGAATAGACTGGTTAAGTTTTGTTACAGCATTTTAGTATAATTCATTGGAGGCTTGTTTTCAATACCCAGCTTTCTTGAGGCATAACTGAGAGAATTGTGTACATCTAAGAGATATAATGTGATGACTTGACGTGTGCACTCGCTGTGAAATAATGCCCACAATCAAGTCAATTAACAAATCCTCACCCGCCCCACATAGTTTCCATTTTGGAGTTTTATTTTAATCGTCTTTGTGTCCTCAGCTCCTGGAATATAGAAAGAAGGGGCTCAGTAAATCTTTGTTGAGGTGAACTAAAGTTATTGCCAACATTAGAAGAATCGCTTGCCTGATTATAGCGTCCAGAGTTGTGAAAGTTGAGGTCTACCTTGGTGTTTTTTGATTCTTTACCTTGATGTGATAGCCATTGTATGAGAATATGTGATTTCTTGGAGGTACAGGAAGATTCTTTAGCATTTTTTAAAATTTAAATTGTATTATTTATATAGTTGAAAAAATTCTACAGTGTAAATACATTGCAAAAATTACACCAGTGGTAGAGAGATCTCCAAACTCAGCCTTAATACATTTGGCAAAGGCTGGTAGAAGTTTAGCTATTATATAAGGTGATTCAATTCAGTATGTTTGAGTCCTGACAAGAAAAGTATCCCTGTCATCATTGCCTTATCAGAAAGCTTCTGCATTTATCAGAAAGAATATATGTACCCCGATGTTCATAGCAGCACAGTTTACAATAGCTAAGATCTGGAAACAGCCCAAGTGCCCATCAGTAGATGAGTGGATAAAAAAGCTGTGGAACATTTACACCATGGAATACTACATACACAGCTATAAAGAAGAAGAATCTCATACCCTTTGGGACAGTATGGATGGACCTGGAGAATATTATGCTAAGTGAAATAAGCCAGGCAGCAAAAGACAAATTTCACATGATCTCGCTTATACGTGGAATCTAAAGAACTTAATAAACTGATGAATAGAATAGATTCAATGACATGGAAGCATAGATGAGACTGATGAATGTCAGAGGGATGGAGGAGGGCAAGTGGGTGGAGGGGGAGAGAGTAACCAAAGAATTTATATGCATATATGCACAACCCAAGGACACGGACAGTGGTGGGGAGGGGGAAGGGACAGGGTGGAATGGGTCATTGGGGAGAAAAAGGGACGTCTGTAATATTTTAAACAAAAATAAAATTAAAAAAAAAAAGAAAGAAAGCTTCTGCAACATAACCTGTTAAGGGCATCTTAGTGTCCCCTCAGTGATTATTAGATTCTTTGTTGTGGCTGCTCAGGAAGGCTGTCTGGTTTCTTGATGTGGAGGGTAGCAGTAAGAACAGATGGCAGGAATGAACATTGAGTCAGACACAGCTGGGAATGGCAGTGCCTGTCAACCAGGAAGAGCTGTCAATAGTAGCCACTGATCCTCTAGTCCAGTAAAGCCCAGAAAGTAGGAGGAGGGAACTAGAAATTTCCCGGTGGGACTGGTGTAGAGTACGTTATGTTGAGTTGCACAGGAGCCTTTCCTTTCTGATACGATTTGGGGAGCCAGAAAAGCCTTTTTCTTCCCCTTCCCCCGACATATCACTGGGTTCTTAAAATACTGAAACTCCTAGTTCATTCTCTCTAAGTTATTCTCACTTCCAGCTGCTCTTGCTCTCATAGAAGATACCCTGCTTCTGTGAATGAGCACTCTGAGGCAGCAGCGGTGGGGAGCTGAGTGCAAGGGCTCGGTGGGGACAGTGGCTGCTTAGAGTGTAGGATAAAGGAGCAAAGGAAGGGGGTAAGGGAGATGTCCCTTCTTTTACAGTTTTGCCTATGTCTGACAGGAAAAACCTTACAGACATTCCTACTGCTTAACCTTCACCAGTCAAAATCAGATCCAGAATATTTCTAATATGTGTCCCTCTGTTGGTGGCCGATTTTTAAAAATAGAAGAAAATTCTTTTGGAGCCTGCCTGCTTGTCCACAGCTCAGAAACCAAGCTTCACCGGGGCTCTGGGCTGTTTTGTCAGATATCTTCCTGGCCTTTTTCTCCTCCTGTTCCTTCTGCACACCCTATATTCCAGCCAGATTCTGGACTATGAGCAGGTCCTTATCATAATCTGACGGCATTTTCCTGCTCCTGCACTTTAACTCCANAAAGAAAGCTTCTGCAACATAACCTGTTAAGGGCATCTTAGTGTCCCCTCAGTGATTATTAGATTCTTTGTTGTGGCTGCTCAGGAAGGCTGTCTGGTTTCTTGATGTGGAGGGTAGCAGTAAGAACAGATGGCAGGAATGAACATTGAGTCAGACACAGCTGGGAATGGCAGTGCCTGTCAACCAGGAAGAGCTGTCAATAGTAGCCACTGATCCTCTAGTCCAGTAAAGCCCAGAAAGTAGGAGGAGGGAACTAGAAATTTCCCGGTGGGACTGGTGTAGAGTACGTTATGTTGAGTTGCACAGGAGCCTTTCCTTTCTGATACGATTTGGGGAGCCAGAAAAGCCTTTTTCTTCCCCTTCCCCCGACATATCACTGGGTTCTTAAAATACTGAAACTCCTAGTTCATTCTCTCTAAGTTATTCTCACTTCCAGCTGCTCTTGCTCTCATAGAAGATACCCTGCTTCTGTGAATGAGCACTCTGAGGCAGCAGCGGTGGGGAGCTGAGTGCAAGGGCTCGGTGGGGACAGTGGCTGCTTAGAGTGTAGGATAAAGGAGCAAAGGAAGGGGGTAAGGGAGATGTCCCTTCTTTTACAGTTTTGCCTATGTCTGACAGGAAAAACCTTACAGACATTCCTACTGCTTAACCTTCACCAGTCAAAATCAGATCCAGAATATTTCTAATATGTGTCCCTCTGTTGGTGGCCGATTTTTAAAAATAGAAGAAAATTCTTTTGGAGCCTGCCTGCTTGTCCACAGCTCAGAAACCAAGCTTCACCGGGGCTCTGGGCTGTTTTGTCAGATATCTTCCTGGCCTTTTTCTCCTCCTGTTCCTTCTGCACACCCTATATTCCAGCCAGATTCTGGACTATGAGCAGGTCCTTATCATAATCTGACGGCATTTTCCTGCTCCTGCACTTTAACTCCAGCATTCATTTCCTTTGTTTGAAATGCCCTCCACCATTGGTGAATCATACTTCCAACCCACTCCTCAGGCCTGCTTTGAATATATTCCCTCCATCAAGCCTTCCCTAAGGCATCGCTTTTTCGACTTCTACAGAACTTTTATCTGTATCGATATAGCTTCGGTTGTTCGTTTGTTTGTTTGTTTTTGGTACATCTCATTTTCTTTGCTAGACCTTTGAGTTTCTTAATGCTAGGTCCTTGTTTCATTCATATTTGCTTCACATGTAGGTGCTAAGTAAATATTTGTTACATTAATTTCAAGTCAAGAATTAATAAGGCTCCAAATATAGTTGCTTTGATTTAGTAATTAAGAGTTGTTCTATACATGGGCATGACATAGAAATAAGATTTTTGTTCACCTCTGTGACTCACTTTTTTTTTTTAACCTATATGTCCACATATTATTTTTAATTGAATTTATTGGAGTGACATTGGTTAATAAAATACATAGGTAAGCTCCAGGTATACATACAAACATATGTTTGTATGGCTTACTGTGCACAGTTACTTGTATTATTTCAGTTTCTTCTTCCATTTTGCCTGAGGAATTCTTCTTGGAGCTCTATGTGAAAAGTAATGTACTGTATCACCTCTTTTGTCATTTTTGAGGATTGCATTAGGTTATAGCTAAGATCTCTGTAGCTTAGAAATCCCATGACCTTCTTTGAAGCTGCTCTGGTCAGTTGACCTTGCCAGGCAAGGGCCAGTAGGATTCAGTAGCTATAGTGGAGCTAGAATCTGCAGACTGGCCTAGCTTGTGAGGTTAGAAATCTGTGACTATGTAATTGGGATAAATTTCTCTGGAAATTTAATCTGATGGTGAGCTCACTAGCATGTTTGGCTTTTCGCTATCTTCTGGTGTAATTAACTGCTCTCCAAGCAGCTGAGGAAAACATTGTGTTTAGGAGGAAAAGTATTTTATTTTACCCCTAGTCAAGTTATTTAGCCTCAGGTTTTCTCTTCTCTGTCTGTAAAATAGGGCACCGTATTCTTTCTTGGTACTTGGCTTTGCTTTACTGAAATGCCACAAGGACAAAAGACTCCAGACAGGTGGTCACATTCTCCCTCACCCTCCGATGGGAGACTACGGGAAGAGGGTTATACAGACTTCTTTCCTTGGTGTTCAGGTATGGAATTGGCAATCAGAGGAGTATTTCTTCCTGCAAGCCCATCAGGAAACAGTGAAAGACTTCAGGCTCTTGAAAAATTCAAGACTGCTTTCCTGGTCATTTGATGGAACGGTGAAGGTAATTTGAAGCACAGATTTCTTTTTTAAAAAGTATTCTGATGTTGCAGGGATGATATTGTGACAGCCAAAAGCAGATGGATGGTGAGTCACTACTTACATTTTCAAACTTGTGTTCTCTTGCTTGGTGTCAGTTGACTGCAGTTACCTACATGTGCTTTGTGTGCATGAGCATTTGTAGTAAAGGGCATGTAAAGAGGTCAGAGCAACCAGTGTGCTAGAGCTCTTGTTGTATGGTCTGTCTTTCAGCTGATTATGTTCAGTAGCACAGAATGGTTTTAAAAGTGTCAACTTCTGAGTTTTTCTTTGAAGGTGTGGAATATCACTACTGGAAGAATAGAAAAAGACTTCGTCTGTCACCAGGATACTGTACTTTCTTGTGATATTTCTCCTGATGCTACCAAGTTTTCATCTACCTCTGCTGACAACACTGCAAAGGTAGGTCGGCCAATTGAAATGTGCATGCATAAAACTGTGGTGTTGGTTATGTATTAAGAGTCCAAATAATGTGTAAATTTTCTCAGTTTTTGGAGGATTCTCACTGGCATTTAGTTGGTGTGAAATAGATTCAATGAATGACGTTAAGGACTTTTGATTTCTCCGTTACTGATTACTTGTTGTCTATTACGAATCAAGTGCAATCTCTTCTGCATATCATAGGCAATAAAAAGCATTGAAAGGGGTTTACATTTAATTGCACATCCATCTACGGTAGGTTTTTATATAATTGATATAAGTTGATGCTTCTGAAAATTGCAGTCCAGTGAAATGATGTTGCCTATTTTGGAACACTGAATACTCCATTCTCTTCTTGTTTATCCATCTTGTTAATGGCATTATTACCTACCCATCTTTCCAAACTACAAACCTTGGAATTGCCCCAGACTCTATCCTGTCTTCTGTGCTCTGTTGATTACTTCTCAATGTCTTTGGGATCCTGCTTCCCCTCCTTGCCCCACCCTTAAGACTAGGCTTTCTTCCTTCATTGGTGGGCCTGTCTCTGGTCTGTACCTCCTCCAGCTGATCTTCCCTCCTGCTGTCCGAGTCCCTGCCGAAGTACCTCCATGACCTGATGGTTTGTAAGCCAGATTCCTTAGCTCACTGCCATCTCTTTCTGCAGCATTTCTCCCGCTGTCCAGGCTGTTCCTCCCATGGACTTTTTGTGCACACCGTTAACTGTGGCTTGACACAACCTTGGATTCCTTTTTACCCTGAAGCATGGTGACTCATTATTTCAGACCTCAATTTGGTGTCAGCTCTCCAGCAAGCCCTTTCCTGGCCCTCAGGCAGGATTAGCTGCTTCACCGTCAGTGTGCCCTTTACATATTACTCACACTTATTAGAGCATTTACTTCATACAACTGTTCACTTAACCACTCATTAGCCAGCATTCTGATTAAATTAGAGACTTTTCAAGGACAATATCCAATTCATCTTTGTACCACCAAATCTTAGCTCACAGTGCCTGGAAGAGGGTAGTTTTCAGCCTATGCTCGTTGAATGGTGATGACAGAAATGTAAGGGAGAATATCGGAAGGAAAATAACTGCATTTGACTGCTGGAATTGTAGGACAGTAGTGACTGACCGTTAGAGCACACTTGCCATATGTTAGGCCTTGTGCTAGGAATTTCACTCTCTATCATCTCAGTTGACCTTCACATCATAGGTACTTTTATCCCCATTTCACAGATGCAGAAACTGAAGCTATAGCAACTTATGTGGGTTGTCCTAAGCCACAAGTATCTAGTAAATAGTGGAGCCAGGACTCACATTCAAGCCTGCTTCATGCCACAGACTGGTCTTAACTCATTTACTCTTCTTTCTTCCAAATCTAAAGTTAAGAACTTTGATTCTTGAGCTGAAGTTAACTTGAGTAATTAAAGGGAAACTCAACAATGAACAAGGTTGCAGTGGGAACTTGGGACTCTCAGGAAGATTTATGAACTGTTGAATGTTGCAGCTGCCATGTGATCAAGGTTATGGCTGACTAACCCTCAGGGCAAGGTTTACAGATGCTTATTTTGAATGTATTTACTGTTCCTAACCTATCTTAATTGCCTTCCAGATTTGGAGTTTTGAACACCTTTCCCCTCTTCATGAATTGAAGGGCCACAAAGGCTGTGTGCGCTGCTCTGCCTTCTCTGTGGACAGCACCCTGCTGGCAACTGGAGATGACAATGGAGAAATCAGGGTAGGGTGTCTGGGGACATGAAGCGCTGTTCTCCGTGTAGCTTGGGCGAGCCCTCTATACCACACTGGGGGCCTTTGTTAGCACCAGCCCTGGTTCGGGGTGGAAGAGTCGTTCTTTGTTGTGTTTCTTGTGCATGGTGTGTTCACAGCTGCATGCTACTGCAGCAAAGAATTCATTTTAGAGCAGAGCATTTCCTATGTGTGTGAGAAGGCAGATGCCCTAGTTATTTGTAGTTGGTTCTCTGCTGTTATCTTGAGAATGAGTCATCTTAATTCTTGGACCTGAACCAAAGGTTGTTTTTAGTGGCAGAATTTGAGGAAAATAATTTTGTAAACCATTATCTAGATTATAAGTGAATTGTATATTCTGCTGTTTTCAGTACTGAAAGAAAACATCTCTTTAGCATTATACCCATTAGAAAGTCAAGATTTACAGTGTGGCCTATGGCAGCCCTCATGGGACTGCCTGCCTCTGGTTGTGTTAGAAGGAGTGGGTACTTGATGGGAAAAGTCTGGGCATTGGGATTGCTGCTATGGTAACCAGTATATTCAGAGTGTCTTGTTTTTTTTCCTCTTTTTCTTTTTTACAATAAAAGGATTTAAAATTCAAGGAGCAGGTATATAATGCAGAATGAGAGAGTCTACAGTTGGCAGGAGTACAGGTGTCATCAGATAGGCTTCCTGACTGGAGATCAAACCCGCAACCCAGTTATGTGCCTTGACCCGCAATTGAACTGGCAACCTTTTGGTGCGTGGGTTCATTGCTCAACCAACTGAGCCACTCTGGCTGGGCTATTTTTTAAAATCTTATATGCATTTCTTTGAAAAATTAGAGTACTGCTAAATATTAAGTGTCACTGGAAATAAATGGAAATATTAGCATCTGTAAGTAATTGGGTTGTTTATAAGAGTCTAGTAAAATTATCATATATATTTGGAACCTTACTGGGAGTTCTAGGTTTTTTTTTACTTAGTGCTTAAAATACGTATATATTACATATTTGATTGACATCTGTCAACATTCTTAGTGGTAGATCTTAGAATTCTTTTGTTTTAATTAAATGTATTAGATATTTCTTTGCATTTTTTTTAAGGTAGTTTATATGCTATATCTTTTTTATTCCTTGTTTCTCCCAGCCTTCTCTTTTTATTAAATGAAGAGAGTCACAGTATTCTAATCAATCACTCTAAGTCCTTTTGTTTTCTTTTTTGGAATATAGTTAATGATAAACATTGTAAGTAATGCACTTGTATTATAATTAGAATTTTTTAAAAATTTGAACAGGAGAGAGTGCAATATAAAAAAATCCCTAAGGTATCACTGAATTATAATTACATTTTTAAGAAAGATTTCCAAATATGTTTCAGATGAGATAAATATACATAAAAATGTCTGGGAAACCCTGTTAATGAATCGTGTGTTTCATGTTTGTGTAGATATGGAGTGTCTCAGACGGTGCGCTTCTTCATTTGTGTGCTCCTGTTTCCATAGAAGAAGGAGCTGCTACCCACGGAGGCTGGGTGACCGACCTCTGCTTCTCTCCAGATAGCAAGACGCTGGTCTCTGCTGGAGGCTATCTGAAGGTCAGAGTTCATTAGAGACTGTGAAAGGAAATAACAGCCTGTATCCTACTGTCCAAGCTGTTTTCACCTCCTGTTTCTCAGCTGGTCTTCATACAGCCTATCAGAGTGGAAGTGCAACTCCTGTTATCCCCATTTTGCGGTGATGAGACTGAGGGGTGCGAGGCTACCTTCCTCAAATCTTTTGGAAGTTTTGGTGGCAGTGTGGGGGCTGTTCTCATTCCAGAGCTCTCACACTGCCCCGTACAGTCTTAGAATATCAGAATGACTAGAGTGGGGTTTTAACTTAGTTTCATTTTCTACCTCATAGTTACTAATTATTTTGGTCGAAAGTCTCTAAAAAAATTTCTGAAATTTTTTTCTTAAGTATTAGTAGTAGCAGTGGTAGTAGTAGTAATAATAGCAGGAGCACATTGCTTTATAGTTTGCAAAATGCTTTACTTACATCATCTCATCAGCCAGTTTTGTAAGGTTCGAGTTTTATCACATTTGGCTTATAGGTGAGGAAACCGATGTTCATAGAGAGTTGTCACTTCCCTGAAATTGCGCAGTTCGTAAGTTGGTATATACAAACTTACTATGAGTGACGACTGTGGCCAAGGCTGAGTGTGTTGTAGAGCCTCAGGGTCATTTTTTGGTGCTTGCACCTATTGACCCACCCACTCAATAAGGACTTGTTGAGTGCCTGTGTGCTGAGACACTGCTGTGGCACAAGGTTGAAGACTTGGCTCCTGCCTCGGGTGGCGTACAGCCTGTGGGAGAAGCAGACAGTAAATAAGACCTCTCGGGTATAGGAGGGGTTCTGGGACAGGTTTGCATATGGATAGTGGAGGCGCAAAGGAGAGGCGTGAACAGTTCTTCCTTGGGGAGTTAGCAGAGGCTTCCTGTGGAGGGGATGCTGAAGTGAGGCTTCTCAACAGTAGTTTACTTAGAAAAGGGGTTGAAGATAATACTACATGTTATACTGACCACTTAAAATAGATCTCTAGTAAATTATATCTTGCGATACTGTTATCTCTGAAGACATTCAAGTGTAGGAGATGATTCTAACAGTCTAACACAATGTAGATATTAAAAAATATTTGAATGAGTGTTTTGGTTATATGGCACCCCATGTAATTGTAATTTTACTCAACATAAAAACCTAGCTTATCAAAAAGATAAATAAGCCTGGCCAGCTTGGCTCAGCGGTTGAGCATCGACCTGTGATCCATCGACCTGTGATCCAGGTGATCACAGTTCAATTCCTGGTCAGGGCACAAGCCCGAGTTGCGGGCTCAATCCCCCAGTGGGGGCATGCAGGAGGCAGCCGATAATGACTCTCTCATCATTGATGTTTCTCTGTCCATCTCCCTTCCTCTCTCTGAAATCAATAAAGACTTAAAAAAGAAAAGAAAAGAAATAAGAGGGCAGAGTTTAGCTCAATGAGAGGATATATGTATGATCCCTTTACAAGTTTGCATTTAAAATACCATGCTGTTTACAAAATGGTGCGTGCCCTATGCTTTTTTGGGCATGCCTTTATTTAGTTATTAGGGAATTGTGAGGCTGTCACCACTGGTCCTCCTTTAATGTAAAGATAAGCTTAGTCTGCTCTGAGGACGATGCTGAGAATAGCGGCATTGATGTTTTGTGTTGAGAGCTGGGAATCTTAATCTTTATTAACTGCTAAAAAACTGCCATGGCACTGAGCTTCTAGAGACCATGTCATTTGCTGCTCTGGGCACCTTCAAAGGCTATTGCATATTCCTGAGTGTGGCGTACAAGATGTTGTAGAGATTAGTCATCAGGTTTCCAGAGTTCTTGGGGAACCTTGAAACAGAGCAGCAGAGCAGATACCTGTATTGCGGAGGTTATGGGTGGGAGAACCTGTAGCCTGTTTACTGTCTCTGTATTTAGGTGACAATCAGGCAGCTCTTCCCTCCTGTTAAACTGATCATGATGCAGCCCAGCCCACATCTACACAGCTTGTTAATGAGGCTCTCCAAAGCACAGAGCAAATTAAAAGTAAAAAGGAGCAGCTGCTGTAGTGTCCAAGAAAATGGGCCTTTTTAGTCTGTTTACTTTAGAATCCAAGCTGCATAAATTGAATGTCAATAAGATAAAGTAGGCATCCAGTAGCTAAAAAGCTCTTAACTTTCAAAATTGTTTCTATTTGTAAGTTAAAAATGATATAATTTAGCTGTCTACCTGTGTTATGCCACAGGGTATATATACTGGTAGAATGACAAGAAATCCACATTAATTCATACTCACAAGGAGCAAGGCTGATTTGAAATTGGAGTACATGGTGATAAATGCAGGTTTGCTGTTACTCAGAGGCAGCAGAGTGTAATGGTTGAAGAGTGAGCCTTGGGCAGACTGCCAGAGTTCAAAGCTTGGCTCTGCTACTGGTTAGCTTTAAGTTAATACTCTTATTAATCACATGATTATTCAAACTCTCTGTGCCTCTATTTTCTCATCTATAAAATGGACACAATAATTTCTACCCCAGGGTTGGGAGCTTTACAGAAATTAATACATAGCAGCACATAGTGTACCCTGAGTAAATGTTAACTGCAATTTTTTCTTAAATTCACTTTATTTCTTAGAGCAGTTTTAGGTTCACAGCACAATTGAGCAGTGTGTACAGAGTTCCAATACACCCCAGCCCCCATGCATAGAGAGCCTCCCTCACTATGACCAGCCCCCCACAAGAGTGGTACATGTTACAATTGATGAATGTTCATGACACATCCTAATCACCCAAAGTCCATAGTTTACATCACGGTTCACTCTTGGTGTTCATTCTGTGAATTTTGACAAATGTATAATGGCATGTGTCCACCATTATGTATAAAATGAGGCAGTTCCTGGGTGATCTCTAAGGGCCTACTGCCTCTGTGATTTGCCCCTAGCAACGGAAAACAGTCTGCTCTCTGGTAGGTGGAATGTGTCCTCTGAAGTCTTGATTACACTGCTGTTTTACAGAGCAAAATTGTCAGCTCTGGAAAATGTCAAGCAAGTGCATGTTGCTTCAGTGAGGTTTACTAAAGTCCATGGGGTGTACTTTTACCAGTTATCATTACTGATAGTGAACATCGAAAATTGACCCAGTCACATGTGCAAGGCAGGAAAGATCCTCATGTATGGTGTCTTGTCTGCCCTTGTGGAGCTATATGTGTAAGCTTTATGATTTCCATTTGGTAAATGAACGTAAATATTATTACAATCTTAGTGAATTCAGTGATTGGGAGGAGAAAGGAAGGACTTGGCCAGAGCACCTGCTGCATTTGAGATGTTGGCTATTTACTTAGCGAATCCATGTATAGAGTAGTTTATGAAGAAACTTGGTCATAAGCTCTTGAATCACTCCTGAGAGAGAGGATTCAGTAGACAGAACACTGTCCTATCACCTGTATTATGAATAGTCTTGGCATCTGCCAGAATACCAGTTCATGTCTGCAAAGGGGCATTTTTAGAGAAGAGAGGGCATTCTTCTGTCCATTCCACTGAGAAGGACATGCAGACAGGAGAGCTCAGTCCAGCCACAGCCATAATGGACATTGGATGGCCTTGTGGGCTGCCTGTTTCTCCAGCACACCTTGAGTAGAGGTGTGCAGGGTGGCTGTGAGGCAGTCACCAGGATTCATCAGGAAAGGATGATCTGGCTGATGATAACTGTATTCAGCATTGACCTAAGACTTCTCTCTGGCTGTTCGCTTAAAATTTGGGCATGGGGAGGTGATGGGGTGAAGGCTCTGGGTGGCACACAGATTGTCACACAGTGTAATTACTGATCTAATGGGAGTTTTATTTTTCTCTGAACAGTGGTGGAATGTTGTCACTGGGGAATCCTCACAGACCTTCTACACAAATGGAACCAATCTTAAGAAAATACACGTGTCCCCTGACTTCAAGACATATGTGACTGTTGATAATCTTGGTATTTTATATATTTTACAGATTTTAGAATAAAATAGTTAAGCACTAATGTAAGTTGAACTCTTACATTATTGGAAAATATTGTGGTGAACCCTGTATTTGAACTTTTTCTAAAGCTGTGAATTGTTTACAGTATTGCATTCATTATGGAAGTGTTTGTGGTTGGGAGACTGATACTATTGTAGCTTTTTCCCAAATGAGCACACCTTTAATCTTGTTCTTCATAATCATCATCATTATTTTTAACAGTTTGTCTTTAAGATGCAAATGAAAATGTAAATACATACCTCGTTATACTGTTGGTAAAATTCTCTCTTGATACGTTTAAATTGGTTGACATAATTAATGAGGATAATTCGAAGGAAATACATGTTTTAATACTATCATTATGCAGGCTGTGCCACAGAGTAGTGCTGGCCTGCTTTCTGAGCCACACTTACCCCACCGGGGTATACTTTTCCCAAATACAATCTCAGCGCTTATTTGCACTCCTTAAATTAGCTTTAAAAATATTGTGTCTGTGTGCATAATTTGTAGTGTTTCTTTTAATTCACTAGACAAGTGAGTCTTGGATTTCAAAGTTCTTTCTGTAGAGTGAGAATTATGTGTGTTGGAGAGAGTTGATTTTATTGGCCTGCCTTTCCTTTCTAGCTGAGGATAGCCCGTGCCATAGCGGACTCAGCCTCTGAGCTCACTGGGCACTGTCCTGCTCTCTCTGGTTTTTACACACCAGACCTTCTTTCATCTTCACTTTTTTCTTTTTTAAAGCAGTTGCTCCACAGTGAGACATTAGTAAGTCAGATTAATTGGGGAGGAGCCCATTTTAATAACAGAATTTTTCTAAGAAATATAGAATAGTAAAAAAATAATTTTCTTCTAATTCTACTAACTTTGAGATGAATGGCAACGTCAGTGCTATTCTTTTAGTGAATTTCAAGAGAATTCTCAGAACCAGAAGTCATCGTGACTCTGGTGTTACCTTTAACCCTCCAACCAGCCCGTCTCCCTTCCCTTCTCTCCAGATCTGCTTCTCTCCCCGCCTCCCTCCTTCCCTGGGAGGTTAATCAGAAAAGGTAGCTTCTGACTGGAAAAAAGCACGTCAGCGTCAATAATTAGCTTTTTTGAACTCTTGATTAGGAAACTTAATTGCAGCTTAAATCTAAACAATGTATTTTCCCAGAAATATATTGTTAAGGGAAATGCTGATAAATTAATAATAGATGTGGTTGCTCCATAAAAAAAAATAACCAAAATTAAAAAATTATTGTTGCTGTAAATCAAATGGGTATTGTCAGCAGCAGCAGGTAGGCCAGTTTTTATTATTATCACATATTAGTAGATATGGGTAGGCAGGAGAAATAGACCACTCCAGATGTATTTTAGATTAGATATTCCTATTTAGAATTCCAGAGAACCATAGAGTGAATGAAATCTTTTACATTGTTAAGGAATTTTTTTAATGGGTTGAGGAACTAGTTATAGTCTTACTGTGATTTAAGCAAATGTGATGTACAGTCTTAATTTTATAAAAGAAATGTCTGGAATGGTATGTTCTGCTTAGAGTATCCTCATCATAATTTGATCTGCATACAATGTTTAGAAACTCATTCGTAGCTCAGAGTATAAAGTATTAACTTTGGAATTGAACTCACTTGACTGTTAAAGTATAACAACAAACATCAGCTTTTAAAAGGCCTTGATTGGCCTTTGTCTTAAAAATAAAAAGAAAAATGGGAAGAAAGACAAGGTAAGATGAGGAATGAAGAGAAGCTAGTAGGATGCAGCTGCAAATTCCATGGCAGCTTGTGGCCAGTTTGGGGAGGGGGGGATTTCTTTGTACTTGCAGATAAGCACTTTGCCCTGCTTTTTCTTTTTGTATGGAAAAATTACATTGCATTTTATATTAAAAAAAATTTTTTTTTTTTGCATTGTGTCGTCTTATATGTTTTGAAAATTGTTCATTTTGTATTTATAATACAGTTTACATGATTGTTTTTGGCCTTGGTACACATTTTAATACATGAATGAAAAATGTTTTGTAAATAAAATTCCAAAAATATTTTTGAAAAACATTTTCAAATTGTTTCAGACTCCTTGCTTGTCTTCTGTTGATTAGAAAACAAATGAGAAGGGTTCTTCACCTAAATCCATCAACCTTTCTATGACGCGTTTTCAGCTATGTGTAGTTCACCTCTATCTAAATTTTGTCTCTCCTTTTCTGATGATTGCTGCCTGATGTAGCTGGCATGGAGAAGATCTTGTAAAGGATAGAACTCATTTATTCATTTATTCATTCTTTCATTCAGTAAATATTTATTGAGACCTGCCATGTGCCTGGCATTTGTGTAGGTAATGGGGATATAGCAGTGAGCAAAACAAAGTCCTTGCCCTGTTGCAATTGGGTGCTAGGGAGAGGTGGTCAAAAGGTAAATAAGTAAAAGCTATAGTGTATTAGTTGCAATACTGGGTATAAATGGGAAGGGGGAGGGTTACAGTTTTAGATGGAGTTGCTCATTGAGAAGGTAACATGCGCACAGACTTGAAAGGTGAGGAACTGAGTCATGCTAGTATCTGGAGAGAATACCCAAGCAAGAGTACAGCCAGCAAAGACCTGAAAGTGGGATGGGTTGGTCTGTTTCGGAACTGGCAAGGCGGCCAGTGTGGCTGGAGAAGACTGAGTGAGGGAGTATAACGGGAGGTGCACTGTGGAGGGCGTCCAGGAGCTCATGGAGGGGTGTGAGCAGTGAGTCATCTGACTTAAGCTTTAACTTGATCACTCTGGCAAGGGTGGGAGCAGGGAGACCTCTGAGAAGCTTTTGCAGTAATCTGGGCAAAATGAAGGCGGGCAGACTAGAGTAACAGCTGGAGAGGTTGTGATAAGTTGGATTCTGGATATGTTTTGAAGATAAGTTAATGGATTGGATAATGGTTGTGAGAGACAATGCAAGAATGATACCAAGGTTTTGGCTTGTTGACCTGATCAGGTAGAAGAATAGAGTTGCCATCAACTGAGATGAAGAGAATGAAAGGAACAGGTTTTTGGACGTAGTAAGTTTGAGGTGGCCATTTAGCATCCAAGTGGAGATGTTGAGTAGCTGATGAGGAAAAGGGTCTGGAGCTCATGGGAAAATCTGTGGTGGAGATACAGATCATGAGAGTCATCTGAATCACTGGCACTTGAAAGGACAAAACCAAAAGAGATCAGCAGTGAAGTGGGTGGAGAGGAGGCCTGGGACTAAGTGCAGGTTGGTGAGATGAAGGAATGAATGCACAGGGCACTGAGAAGGACCAGCGAAGACTAAACAGTGCAAGTTAGCGTAGTAAGTGTAGTGAATGCAGTGGGTGGGTGTAGACTCCTTCAGTCAGTGCGACCTTGCGCAGACTTCCTTTATTGGTGTGTTCGTCCAGCCACCTGTCTCTCCTCTATGCCCTGAGTGTCTGCGGTGTGCCAAGCACTGTTTTGAGCAGCAGCCAAGGCAATAAGTACATACATTTTAGTTGTTGGGGGAGATTGGGGACAATAAGACAGCTGCTGATAGTTTCTTGTTTTCTAATTACCTGTAAAATGCTTCTCAGGGTTGCTGTAAGGATCTAATAAGACAAAGCTCATGAAGTACTTATCCCAGTGCTTGGACAGACAGTGCTCAGTGAACAATGCTTGCTGTTATTTGGGCCCCATCTTCAGCCGGGAAACAGGTCTCTGCTTGATTTTCCTATCTTTTTATTTAGTTTTAATCCTTACCTGAGGATATTTTTTCCATTGTTTTTTCAGGGAGAGAGTGGAAGGGAGAGAGAGACACATTGATCAGTTGCCTCCTACATGCACCCCAACCTGGGCCGGGGATGGAGCCCGCAACCGAGGTACATGCGCTCCGCTGGAATTGCACCCAGGACCCTTCAGTCCACGGGCTGACACTCTAACTGCTGATCCAAATCGGCCAGGGCGATTTTTCCATCTTTTCAAAACCCTGGGCCTGCCGTGTGCTCTCTTGCTTCTGTGGTTTTATATGCATTGTCCTCTCTTCCATACTGCCCCTCTCCAGCCTACTTTTTTCCTCCAAATTCCTTCTTACTCTTTATATATTCTGTGAGGTGACCCTTCTGCTATCTTGTAGTGCCCTCTTTTCTCTTACATGGCTTCTATGGCCCTGTGTCACTTACTTATTGGAGTCCCCTGTTCGACCAGAAGCTCCATGGAAGCCAGGTCTCTGTCTTTTATACCAGAGTCTCGCGCATAGGCCTGGCTCCAGTTGGAGCCTCAATAAGCACTTATGAATGATTGGCACTCCTGTTTGCCTGCATGCCCACAGCACATTCTGTGTTTCCCCTCCGCACTAGGGCACCATAAGGCTGTCAAATTAAGATGCAACACATCACCGGCGTTTTCTTCATCTCCCCGGTTTAGTTTGGCATTTTATTGTGAAGCCGCATTAGGGAAAAGTAAAACTTTTCTTGGACAGAAAAGATTTGCTTCCAAATTATATGAGATAAACATAGCCCTGGAGGGGTTAAGTTGGCAACTATGGCAATCTATGACCCAGCAAATGCTCTGTGTTATCATAATTTACTTACTTTTACAGCTAGAGATAATGGCTTTCCAATAATTCTTAGTCCCAGAAGATTGTCAATTGAATAGACTTCCTTGCCCATAACCCCTCCTCTTAAGACTATAGATAAATAGTTATTAAAATTCCTGCATTAGGGAACCAGCTGCTGTTGGGCTGTGAGTTTAACCATAGAATCATTGTGTAGGTGTAACACATTAATGTGGAAGGGTTAGAATTTGCATCGAACCTGGGACTCATCAGAGACCAGACCTTTGAAGTCATTTGGCATCAACAGCGACTTATTTCTGAGTCAGGTGATGTGAGGAGACCAAAAGTTGGGAAATTTTCATTTTAGTTATGATTCAGGAAAATGAGTTGCTGGTATTCATTGCAGATTCATTTATGAAATCAGGCTTTCAGACCTGGGAATACTGCTTATCACACAGAAGTGAAGAGAAAAACCTGCCTCTGTGATTTCCCATCACCCAGGGCTAGAATAAGAAACGAGAGCATTCCAAGCCCAGGGGTTTCTGCCTGGGAGTTCTGAGTAACTGTTCAAACTGGAAAACACCCAGCAGGTGAGTGAAGACACCTTCTTAGGACCAAAGTGGCTGTTCTGAGGAGCTGGAGGAAAAGTTCTCATTCATCCAATCAAATCTCCATCACCTCCCCGCTCTAGGCACTGCCCTGCCCTTATTTTATCTTCACAGTTTAGTGATTTGCAAGACTGCGCAGTTCCAGTGTATAGAGGAAGAACCACACTCCCGGCTGTTAATCAGCGACAAAGCCAGGGCCAGAATACAAATCTGATTTTTTCCTTTTTTTTCCAAATACAAGTGAAAGTTCATTAAGAAAGTCACAGAGGTAGAAAAAAAATGAGCCAGATGGGCTGCGTGGGCTCAGGAAACAAGTTACAGAGGCAAAAGAGGGTCCTCAGAGCTTAGGGGAGAGAGAGGATTTTTATTTTATTTTATAGAAAGACCCAGACCACTGGGCCACACATTGAGTGTCAGTTGCAATTGGAAGTGGAATTCTCTTGGGTTCATGGCAGATGGACATCAGTCTAGGGGCCAAGGCTTGGATTTCAGCAGCTTGGATCTCATTTCCGATTTGTCTTCAGTTAGCAGTGATTCTAAACACTTCGCCTTGGTTTTATTTGCTTGTGGATGAAAAAAGGGGATTCTAGGGGGGAAAACAAAGCAAATGAAACAAAACAAAAGGGGTTCTAGGGAATGAAACCTCAAAAAGTGATCAGATCATAAATTTCTAACTGGGCAAGTCATGGTGGGTAGTCATGCCCCAGGCACATAACTTTCTAGTAAAAGGTTTATCTTTGCCTTAGTAAGCCCTGTCCATTGCTCTGTACACCCAGGTTTCAAGAGAGCTCATAACCTTAACTATCCTGCAATCCAATCCCCGCCTTGATTTCGCCCACCTTTATGGAGTCTTCCTTATGTTCCCTCCTTAATTTCAAGTGCACAAAAGAAGCTCCAAAACTGTTACTCTCCAGAGCATTAGAGATTCTGCTCCCAGCATATGCTGTGAGTGTGGCTCAAATAAGCTCTTAGGAAAATTCTCTACTGGTTTGGACGTTTCTTGTGTAGATATGCCCCATTCTGTCAAGTAAATTTCTGAGACAATGAATCCTTTTTAGGAGGAAGGAAGGGGGAGCCACTTTTTTTTTTTTTTTACAGGCCTTTTATGTGCCAGGCCTTGTGCTGGGCACTTTCCACACATGTAATTTAAACCCCCTATCTAGTAGTGGCCAGTGAGATGTAAGTGGAAGTTGTGGGGTGAAGTTCCCAGGGAAGCGCCTAAAAGGTTGCCTTACTCATTTGGGAGGCAGGAGCACTTTGGTCCTTTTTCCTGCCTGGAATGTGTATGTGCTGGGTGATGCTCCAGCAGCCATTTTGTGATCATGAGGTGAACTTGCAGCTGGATGCTACCTACACGCTAAGGACAGCAGAGTAGAAATATCAAAGGAGCTTGGAATTTTGATGACAGCTATGGAGCTACCATTCCAGCCCTGTACTCTCTCTGAAATTCATGTTACATTAGAAAAAAACTCAACCCTTCCCTTTTTAAGGGATCCTTAATTCTGGTCTTCCAGCTCCTGATACTCCCATAAACTACTGTGGTGTATAAGATCAGTTCAGCAAACCAGCGACCCTGCATCCCTCCTTCCTACCCCACCTCACCTCAGCCACACACACACTGTTCCTCTTCTGATAAGTAACCGGACATCGAACTGTGAGGCTGTTGAAACTTGGAAGATTCTCAGAAAGTCTGAAACAAGTGATGCACAGACCACGCCCATTCCACAGATGAGTTTTGTTTGGCCTACACTAATTTTTTAAAACTCTGAATTTGTTGCCAGCGTTTGAAAATCTGATTTTGCATAAAAATTCTAACTTATTCGAAAATCCGTTGACTCAAGGTCTTCCTTTCTGCCTGGCAAGAATCAGTGGGAACTGAGAAGCAGCTGCCCCGAGATGCTCTGCGGATCATCATCAAAACCCTCCCTTCCCTCATGCTACCTGTGTGGCCCTGACGCCATGTGAGTTTGCAGCCTCTCCCCCCACCCACCCCAGACCAACACTCCATACACGGCCTGCTAAAATGGAATTCCTGGATGTCCTGTGCCTTTCTTCTCTCCTAGTTTCCCAACACTTAGCACACTGGGTTGTTTTTGTTTGTTTTTGTCTGAAGACTGAGCGCACAGTTTTGAGAAACGGTGAGAAGTCAGCTTCTCAAATGTCAGAAAACAGCTGAGGTTGCCTCTTACTTGGAGGCATCTTGGCTCCCTCCTCACGTGCCTTGTTGACGAGGGGCAGGAAGAGGGGCGCGGGAGACTCCCCAGGAGCAGCTGTAGGGGTGCCTGATGGAGGCGCTGGGACTCCAGAGGCCAGGTCAGCGGAGTGTTGCACGGGGACTGCTTTGACCAGCTCTGCCACCATGCTGTGAGCTGCCTGGCGGTGAGAGCGACCCCATCTCCACTGAGTAACTGTGGCACTGGGATAACTCAGTTTCCTAAATGGCAGGGCTTGGAAGATGCACATTAGCTCCGCTGTGCTCACAAAGTCTGTTATGTGAACTGCGTGCTCCTCAGCCACCTGAGCCAAGCGACGACCCCTGAGGAAGCCTCAGCTGCTGCGGCTGTCACCTTCAGCTGCGGCGACCCCCTTGGAGCTGTTACATGAAGACTCTCGATTTCAGTCTGCTGTATGTGTAAGTCTCTGCGTCACCGGTCATTACTCTTGGAAAGCCCATGCGGCTTTTACAAATACAGGTCTCTGGGGTTTTGCAGGGGAAAACAAACACTGGGCGGTAAGTAATTTGTGGCTGTGATTTGTCATGAGTTACACACAGTGCAGTATGCTGGCTGGGAAGGGTTGCCTTTGCATTAGCAGCTCTAAGGACAGTGGCGCCACCCCCGGCACAGAGTGTTTGCGATGACTACGTGGGCCTGAGCTGAAGACAGGAAACAGCTCCTCGGAATCGGTGTTCCCGGGTCAGCACCAAAGTCTGAGGATTAATCCCACGGCCAGAAGGAAGTTCTGGTTCGTGGGCACTGAGGGGGCTCACCGTCCGCAGGCTGGTGATTGCACAACAGGCCTAAGGACGCCCGGGCCTGCCGGGCATGGGGTGTGTGGGAAGCGGGCCCTGCGGCTGGGGCAGGCCGGTGCCCGGTGCACGGGGTGCTTGCTGGGCAGCAGCAAGCGGGTGTGGGCAGGG